TTCAGTCATCGCACGGATCACGGTATTCATAAACTGAAGATGTGTCGTTATAATTTATAAAGATTACATTATTTCAGACCCTTATTTCGCCGATGTGATAAGAAAAAGGGGGAAAGGAAGAATGGAAGAAGAAGACCAAAAAGGTCACTCACTAGAAAAGGGGAAACAAACCACACATTGGAATATTGTTGTTACTGCTTTCTGTCTACAGATGGCGCTACTCCACTTATACGTTGATCAACACTATAACATTTGTGTTGCTACAATCCTTTGCTTTTAAACATCCAGTGGTAAAAGCTTTAAATCTAAATAAGTCGGCGATTACAACATGTTTCTCAATCCCGAGGATTTCCACTCTAGATTGGAAGTAAAGGGAAATTTAGTATTTTTTTCAAAATTTTACATAACATCGTATTTTTTAAAGATAAACTGAATCATTTTGGATGAATACAGTCACATTTATGTTCCTTTTGCAGAAAAGATGTAGAAACATATTATCATATCTTCTTTAAATGTGCTTAAGTGTCAAGTATATGGATTGAGATGAGAAACAAATAAAAAAAATGTTTCAGTTTCTTAACATGCAATGGATTGATGTGTTACTTAGTTTCAGAGATAATATGAAAGATGATAATTGTTAAATCATGTATTGATTTTGGTCAAATACATGATTTCCAGTAATCGTAAAAATGGAAAGTTTCCAACTAGCAAAGAAATATGTAAAGCTGTGAAGCCGGAACTATATGAAAAAGCAAAAATAAAGGACAAATTGCCAATACACTATACAAAGGTTGAAAAGTCTTACTCGTTAAATGTACTATGTCCCATTTGCAGGCCAAAAATGGAAAGGTTTAATTCCAACGGCATTTGAAAGACAATACTGATTTAAAACTTCCCTCAAAACGAAAAGGTTTGAAAATGGCTTTTAGTGGGAAAATAACGACCATTAGATGTCGAATCGACTTAACTGATTGCAATCAGTGTGATTTTTAAAACGTTTTTCCGAATGGTCGTACGTTTTATGCTGCACAAAGATTCAATCAGTTTAATTTTGGCTATTACAAGTGGTGGGTTATTGATGTAGACAAATGCTCATGTAGCTGTTATAGCTCATTTTAGGTATGTTATAACCAAAGGAAAAAAGATGTCAGTCAGTCACTCAATAGTGTCTGACAGTGCAGTCTAGAAGGTAAACGGGTTTCCTTGCATAATTTGAATACAATGGCACTGCTCATGTTTAAATTTCACAGATATATTCATAATTCCTTCAAAGTTCTACAGAATTTGATGTTGGCCAGTGCAAAAGGGACATAGTATTTTTAAGGTAGTGGGGCTGATTATATATATATTTTTTGAAATAAAAATTCCTGCTCACATCGATTCTGACACTTATCTATTATCGTTGTTTGCTAGTCTTTTAAATGTTTTGTTTTAATTGATTACAAAAGTATAGTTACAGACCTGAACTGATAAAAGACCTCATACAATGAAAAAATCTACTAGTTAACAAAAATGCAGCACCGTGTCATTCTTTGTAAATATAACGATGGGTTTATTATGGGTTATGAAGCAGCACCTTCAGCTTATACTCTTTTGTTTATATGAGAAAATCTTTATTCAGATTGCTTGATTTATATCAAACTAATTAATTTGCACAGAAGATATGCTTATGCTGTAAAACGTGTTCCCCTTTGATAATGTTGTATCCGAAAATATTAATATGAAGTATTACCGTCACCTTTTCCTTTTATTTATTTTTTCCTCCCAAATTGCAGAATTGTATCACAATTTGTACACTTGATTGGATATGTACTATATTAGTTTGGATGCTTATGGAAAATATTTTAAAAATATGTCTGTGTTTATTATATATGAGACAATGTACTTTGCTTATACTGTAGGAACAATTATGTTCCTATTGATCATTTTGTATAATCATGCAAATTTGAATAAAGGCAAGAAAGCTTTAAAAAAAAAAAACACTACGTAAATCAGTCCATCACATAAGCAAGGACTTACACCAAAATAACAATGATATTTCTACTTTATCTGCCACATGCACCTGCAACATAATCTTAGATGTAAATTTAGCATACCAACTTATGAAGGAATGATTAAGTTGTTTAATAATATCTAAGTTTGTTTCTTGTGGTTTTTATGAATATCTATGCACAGTGTAATAAAATGAGAATAGAAGAAGTTATTCTACTTTTGTTGTGTCGTTTAAGTTTCTGCCAAGAGATGGCGCTAGACTACTTCTGCGATAGTACTAATCAACGCAGTATACGATTTACATTTTATATAAATAAAAAAAATACCCGCATATCCCCCCTTTTTCATGTAAACAAATCTTTGTATTAAGTGTAAAGCATTTGAAATTGATGCATTAAGCCCCACTATAGCTAAAGAGCAAACTACCGTCGACTTATTTCCTAACTTGCTAAATATGCTAAGTTTTTTTGCTCTTCCTATTGATGTTTATTCTTCTACCCTCTTCTCTCCCTGTATTATATTGATTTGTACTATGGTAGAGGCATTACCCTTCTCTCTACCTTCATTCTTTTTCTGTCCCTCCCTCCCTCACGTTCCCTCTTCTCTTGTCACCGCACTCTCTCTCACTTTTACCTTTGCAACCGTTACTTGAACATAAGGTTTGCCCTCCTGTTAAGAGAGCTAGAAATACATACTCAAACTGTATTTTGAACTTATTAAAAGTATGGGGGTAATGCCCTTCTGGCTCTCCCCCTCTCTCGTACCACTCTCTCTGTCTCTCTCTCTCTCCCTCTCTCTCTCGTACCACTCTCCTTCTCCCTCCCCTCTCTCTCTCGTACCACTCTCTCTCTCTCTCGTACCACTCTCCTTCTCCCTCCCCACTCTCTCTCTCTCTCTCGTACCACTCTCCTTCTCCCTCCCCACTCTCTCTCTCTCTCTCGTACCACTCTCCTCCCTCCCCTTTCTCGTACCACTCTCCTCCCTCCCCTCTCTCGTACCACTCTCTCTCTCTCTCTCGTACCACTCTCCTTCTCCCTCCCCTCTCTCTCTCTCTCTCTCGTACCACTCTCCTTCTCCCTCCCCACTCTCTCTCTCTCTCTCGTACCACTCTCCTTCTCCCTCCCCACTCTCTCTCTCTCTCTCGTACCACTCTCCTTCTCCCTCCCCACTCTCTCTCTCTCTCTCTCTCGTACCACTCTCCTCCCTCCCCTTTCTCGTACCACTCTCCTCCCTCCCCTCTCTCGTACCACTCTCTCTCTCTCTCTCGTACCACTCTCCTTCTCCCTCCCCACTCTCTCTCTCTCTCTCGTACCACTCTCCTCCCTCCCCTTTCTCGTACCACTCTCCTCCCTCCCCTCTCTCGTACCACTCTCTCTCTCTCTCTCGTACCACTCTCCTTCTCCCTCCCCTCTCTCTCTCTCTCTCTCTCGTACCACTCTCCTTCTCCCTCCCCACTCTCTCTCTCTCTCTCTCGTACCACTCTCCTCCCTCCCCTTTCTCGTACCACTCTCCTCCCTCCCCTCTCTCGTACCACTCTCTCTCTCTCTCTCGTACCACTCTCCTTCTCCCTCCCCACTCTCTCTCTCTCTCTCGTACCACTCTCCTTCTCCCTCCCCTTTCTCGTACCACTCTCCTCCCTCCCCTCTCTCGTACCACTCTCTCTCTCTCTCTCGTACCACTCTCCTTCTCCCTCCCCACTCTCTCTCTCTCTCTCGTACCACTCTCCTTCTCCCTCCCCACTCTCTCTCTCTCTCTCGTACCACTCTCCTTCTCCCTCCCCTTTCTCGTACCACTCTCCTCCCTCCCCTTTCTCGTACCACTCTCCTCCCTCCCCTCTCTCGTACCACTCTCTCTCTCTCTCTCTCGTACCACTCTCCTTCTCCCTCCCCTCTCTCTCTGTCTCTCTCTCGTACCACTCTCCTTCTCCCTCCCCACTCTCCTTCTCCCTCCCCTCTCTCTCTCTCTCTCTCTCTCTCTCTCTCTCTCGTTTTCACCTCTGTAACTGTAACGTTAACATAAAATTCGCCCTCTTGTTATATACATCGTGTGATGAGAGCTGGAACAAGTAAGACGTAATACCCTTGACTCTGACATGAAGCTCTGTTTGATAGCAATTTCATACAATATGCATTTATTGTGATGTTATCAAATTTGATGCGCAGATCTTTGTTACGCTAAGTGCCATGTTACAAATTATTTCATTCACCCATTATGAATAATGATATTTCAATAGTCAAAATGCAAACTGTAAATATTTTGTGTTCTTATGTAGGACAAGCCATGTTTGTCCTACCTAGCAACAACTAAGCGATGCACTTTGTATTGACTAATGAAATCTAAATATTCATAATGGGGGAATGAAATAATAGGGTAACATGGCACTTTAAACAGACCTATGCATTACATTTGATTACATTACGAAAAATGCATGTTAGAAATAGAAGTACATAAAGGAATAAAGAGATAGATAAGAATAAACAAAGAACCTAGTAAGATATATTGTGGAGATAATGTACATACATGGACAAAAACATAGACAAATCAAACGAAATGAAGAACAAGAGAAATAATCAATTTGTAAAGTGAAATCCTATTTCATCTTTAATGTTACATGACAAACGATTATTGCATACCAAAATCTCCAACAGATACATATATATATTGTGCATTTTAATCTAACAGAAATCACTAACTTTGTCTAACTTTCATCCTAATGTATGATGACAAAAATAGTACATACATTATTTAAATGAGGAAGAGAAAATGATGTCTAATGTGTTAGATTTTGTCAAATGGGAAGTTCGCTATCAAAGTTGTGAATTTTACAGTTGTATTTGATCAAGCGCAAGTTGGCAACTTCAGTAATATGCAAATAACAATAAATAAATGGATCAGTCGAGACATCTCGATTGATACTTTTCATTGAGTTTTTACTGTTCATACTATTCTTTTTTTTATAGTACAGAAAAAATAATGTTTTACTGGTCTGAATTGTATACATTTTCTTATTTACCACAAGTTCAACTTTAAAACAAAATTGTAATGACAATCCAAACATTCAAAGGTTGGATTCAGCACACTTTGGTAATGGGTGCAATATAATACATTAAACACCACGGCAGACTTTTAAGAAATAAACTAAATGGAAGTTAATTACCTTGGTAATTGGTGCAATAAAATATATTAAATACCACCGCAGACTCTCAACAAATCAACTAAAATGAATTTAATTACAGTACCTTGTTGTTTTGCCTATGGAGACCATGTGCAGTCTAAATAGTATCATTGTATTGAGCAAATGCTTCAATAGGTGACACACACTGCTTTTAAAATTGCGACACGTGGATTTAAAAAAAAAGTCTTGTGATCTTGTAAGTAAGCAACCAGGGGACCAACACTTTTAAGTCCTCTCTGAGGGACTTGGTAATGAGGATTAATGCCTCACCAAAGGGCACTAGCACATCAACTTCATTTTGAACCCAGGACCTCCCGATTATAAGACCACTGCTCTACCACTAAACCAGTGCATCTACTCATCTTTATGTGGTTTAACTACATTATCCGTTTTACTTCACTATTGTTTAATCTACATGATTATTTTTAAAAATACGTTTAAAATGTATTTCCTATAGCACCTTCTACTTATAGTTACAACGTGCCCCACAATAAAGTATTAAGCTCCACATGTATTTGGGCCACTTAAATGATACTTTACGAGACATGATTCCTACCAAAAAAAGTTAAATTCTTGATTTCCTAATCAATATCTGAAATAAAGATAAACGGATAGACAAGGTTTGTGTTAAGAGGAGGGAATAAAGCAGAGAAATGCAAAACAAAAAGAGACAGAGTTATATGTAAAAGAGGAAGAAAATAAAGCACAAAATAATATAAAGAATATAGTTTAAAACTGGAAATCTAAGAAAATATCTTAGATTCCTAAATAATCGAGCATGGCAAGCAAAAAATGTTCAATACACGATGTACATAATACAACGGTGATCAAGAGTTTGTATACAAACCTATCAATAAATAATTAAAATAGTAAGAACTACAAATACCATACAAATATATAAAACATATGAGCTGTGACAAATTTGAAATTGCATGATCATAAACAGAACCAATTTGAGCTTCTCAATGCCACTTATATCAAGACCTATATACCAATTACCAAATTACCAAATTTGTCACAGGTAGTAACATTAAACAAAGCAAATTGGGAATTTTTTTGGGATTTATTAACATGATTTTTCCTTTGCATCTTTCAGTTTATCATGAATGAAAGTTAAAAAAAAAGAGCCTGTATCATTCTGAAACTTCAAATTTTGTCCATATTCACCTCAGTGTTACTACTTGATAACAATTTGTTTCTAAACCTATGATAACTATCAAAATTAAGGAAAGATAGTATTGTAATTGCAATTGAATAAATTGAGATGTCTAGTGAATTAATTATTACTTCTAAAAATGAAATTAAAAAAATTATCTTTAGAAGAGTTTGAGATGAATCAATTGATAGTAACTGTTTTATCAACATACACAGGCAATGGCAAATCCACACTATAAATCAACATTATTGTCATTATCAAGGGCATTGTGGATAAGGCCTAATATAAGAGTTGTGATAATCCACTACATTTTAATATGAAAATGACACAATAAGTTACAAAGCATGATTAAGCATGTCTCTACTTTGACTTGTACTATCACACATTTAAATACATTTTTTTCTAAATCATCACTAAAAAAACATTATCTTTCAATTCAATAACAAATACTGTGAAGAGTATTCTTTCATTTGATCTTTCAGATTTCTACTAAACAACTTCTCAAGTGGCAAGGTCAAGTCATACTATGTTTCGGGCAAGCAGTTTGAATGATAATACTCGTCTAATTTCAGCAAATAAAAGTTTTCTTGTTTTTTATAACTTAATATCAGGAAGGACTTCCCTTTTAAGTTCAGAGGCCTTACAAATATCATTGATGTATATCAAAAATAAAAGGGGGCCTAGGATGCTGTCTGTTTAGTAGAAATCTGAAAGAAATTGGTCGGTAGTTCTTTAATAATGATGCATCATCGTTTTTGTATATTGGGAAAACCCTTGCAAATTTCATGTTACGAGGTAAAACTTTTGCTTGATAATGACAGATAAAATATATGAAACAACATGGATACCCTTATATGTGAGTTGTACAATTGTAAGGAAGTTATTACCTAGCTTGAATGTTACTCTTTCCATGTATATTTTCAACCACCCTCTTAAGTTTCTGTTTAAGGCTGGTTCTAAACAGGAATCCATGCTGCCGAGTCCTCCGGTGATTCCTCCCCCTCTGGCTCTTCCCCTTCTGGCTCTTCCTCCCCCTCTGGCTCTTCTTCTTCTAATGGCTCTTTCTCCCCTTCTGGCTCTTCAACTAATGGCTCTTCCTCTAATGACTCTTCCTCCCCTTCTGGCCCTTCCACTAATGCCCCTTCCCACAGCCCTATATTTTCCTCCCTCTCTTGCTCCTCGTCTAATGGCTCTTCCTTTATTGGCTTTCCCCCCACCCACAACTCTTCATCTAATGAATCATACTCCCCTGGCTGTTCCTCAAATCCCTCTTCCTCCCCTTCTAGCTCTCCTTCTGATGGCTCTTCCCTCATCAATAGACCTCCCTGCATTGACTCTTCCCCCTTTGGCTCTTCCCCCATACTCAGCTCTTCAACTAATGGCTCTTCCTCCCTTGGCTCTTCCCCCATCCTCGGCTCTTCAACTAATGGCTCTTCCCCCACCTCTTGCTCATTCTCTGATGTCTCTTGTGGGTTTGTCCGCTTTATACTCAAATCTAATGGAACACAATTAATATCCTCTGCACTGTTTGTCAGGGTATCTCCTGTACTATTGGAGAAGGTGGCAGGAAGCCGACTTGCAGAAGTCTCTCCGGCAGACATTTTCATGAAATTATGCAGCTGCGTATGGCTCAGCATGTGGACCTTCAAGGAGCTGTTCTGGGTGTAGCTCTTGCCGCAAATCTCACAGGAGTAGGGGCGTATGCCCGAGTGAGACCGGACGTGAGCCCTGAAGCTGCTCGGATCGGTGAATCCCTTGGAACAGACCTCGCATTTGTAGCGGTAGTCCCCCGTGTGGATACGCATGTGTATCCCAAGGGAGTCCTTGCGGGTGAAGCGCTTGGAGCATACCCCGCACTCGAACGGCTTGCTCCCGCTGTGGACACGGAGGTGGGTCTTGAGGTGCTCCTGGAGCCGGAAGCTCTTGGGACAGAGATGGCAGACGTAAGGCTTGGTGCCTGTGTGGATCATGAGGTGGGTTTGCAGATAGCACTGCTGTGAGAACCTGTGGTCGCAGTACTCACACTGATACGGCTTGATCCCACTGTGGACTTTCAGGTGCTTATTGAGGTAGCGCTGATCGGCAAAGGTCTTGGAGCAGATCTCGCATTCGTGTGGTCGCTCTGTGCCGTGCGTCTTGAGGTGCGTCTTGAGGTGGGATTTCCTTGTGAAGGCCTTGGTGCAGATATCGCACTTGAACGGCCTCTCGTCGCCATGGTTGCGAAGATGCGCTTTGAGGAGGTGCAGCTTCGGGAACGACGCAGAGCAATGCTTGCAGCCAAAAGGCGTAACAGAACTATGGACCTTCATGTGCGACAGCAAATGTCCGCTCTGTCCGAAGGTTTTATCGCAGTGTTCACAGTTAAATGGTTTGTCTTTGTTGTGGGTTCGCATGTGAACCTTGAGGGCATTTCCCAGGGTGAAACACCTGGAGCAGATTTCGCATTGGTGGGGTTTAAGACCTGAATGGATCTTCTGGTGACGAAGCAAACCAGAGCGATCAGAGAAACATTTCAAGCATTCATCACACTGGTGCGACTTACCAGTCCTGTGTGACCGCATGTGCGTTGCAAGTTCCCGAAAGTGGGCAAAACGTTGCGAGCAAACGTCGCAATTAAAAGCTTCATCACCATCCCCTGTACTGTCCTGTATCCTGCAAGAATCGCACAACGGGGTCCTCAGGTTGCCTTCATCGTCACCTTCATCGGCAATGTACAACGTCTTCTTGCATACTTTACATAACTCCATCGTATAGAGTTTCATTGGAGGATCTTTCGGTTCTGAAGTCATCCCGCTCTGCCCGCTCGACCCTTCTCTGCTAGAGTTCTCTTCGGTGCCACTGCTATCAACATCCTTGCCTGAGGTTCCTGGGGTAACACCGGGATCCTGCCTCTCAACAACCTGGGATGCGGATACCTCGCCCTCATAACCTAAAGCTACGATAACAAGAAGAACAAAAAGTTGATGATTACAGATCTACTATTAGGACCTCAGTGATATACTTTGACAGATAGATATAGCAAAAATATTTTGCCCTCTTACTTAAAGGTAAAGACCAGTTCTGGTCATGCGATTGCATTGTGAAAGAAACGTTGTGGAATCGATCAGAAAAGGTTGATCATCTAGCATATAAGTATTGGTGTGTACTGCAAGGTTCTGGAATCATTAAAATGATAAGAAATTCGGCCCAGTCTTGGTTAAGTTAGAAGCACTGTACACAGAAATGGGACTACCCGACAAGTACCGATATCTATCCAGTCCAGATAGATATAATAATTTACCAAATATATCAATTAGTAGGCGGTTTCCCGGCAAGATTTTTATCATCACGTATTAGTCAAAACATATTCTTTCACATAATTGGTAATAAGAGCTTCCATTTCATTTTTTGAGAGGGGGGCGTTTCCAAAACTGGTCTTTACCTTTAAGATTCGGTCGCATGTGCCATTTGGTTTCTGTGCACTAAATGAAGGACAATTGGGGACGATAGGCGATATGGGCGACATTTAATTAAGTATGGTCCTCTGGATACATGTACTCATCTGTGTGTTATAAGATATACAAGTGTGAAGCACAAGAGGCTTAAAAAGCCCATGGAAAACCATGGCAGTTTACAATGGTAGTTTACCATACCATGGCATATGAAAACGAGGCTTAAATGAGACATTTGCCTTGGACTTTGTTTTGAACTTTAAATCTTTAAGCCAAGTACACTTCCCATTTGGCACTTCATTTCTACCGTTTGTGGTTTAAAGGCAGGGTATTCTACTGACACCACTTCAGATTCATGTATACTGCCATCTGCTGCTCACAATGTCCCAATGCATCTACAGCCATGTCCCACAATGCATTAGCAACTGATGACGTGCGAGTGATGATGCTTGGGTACAGGAACCGGAAATCGCTCTCTGTGTACGCCTTCACCAAAAGATGGCATAATAAAAAATGCAGTGCATCAGAGGTAAAATACCCTGCCTTTAAAGCCTGTCTGTACTAGTTTGGCCAAGAGGGATTAGACCACCCAGCAAGGTCACCTACAGGTGGCTATCTCATCAACTCAGCTCTCAATTAATTTAAGAAAAAGAGGTTCATGGGGGACACATGGGCACCGCTTAGGCATTGTTTTCTATACAGAGGGAGCAAGTAGCTACAAGTAGTACAGCAGGGCTTTAAAAAGTCAACTTGAATTCCTTATTACTCATATTACTTATGTCAGGTACCCACTTTTGCAATATCAAACACAACATACGACTAGCTCTTCTTGGGTGTAGTTATGGTAGATAACCTTAATTTTGTAAGTTTTTGACAAATCTAAGAGTGGATCACAAGTTGATCAGCAACATTTGAAAGAAATTGTGTTTTTAGTCTTGATGTTGAGTTTAAATTTGTTAATGTTGTATTCCTGGAAATTAAATGATTTTTTAAAATTTAAATTTCATATCAAATTGTAATTAGCACATATTTGTTGTTTTGGCAGGTGCTGGTTGCAGTTTCAGACTCTTATAGGGTGCTCATAATGGCCCAAATACTTACTGTTCTTAAACAGTCCTACATGTATGTGTCGGCACACTTTGTACCCGTGTGTATACGGGACATTCTTTTTATGCAGTGTCTTGTGTGAGATTTAGAATACATGTACCACAGTGAAATATGACAAGACACACAGACTATATATCATTTTATCTTCAGTTTGCATTTATTAGCACCATTACTACACAAAATAGTCATGAATTCAAGAAATTATAGTGGGTTATAGAAGTTCATCCTCTCTCTCTTTCTTCCCCCCCCCCCCCACCCACTCTCTCTTCTCTATCTCTCCAGCTGTTAATGTAGTATACTGAAACTATTGTAAACATAGAATAATGGGCCATATGTTGAACATGTTAATTCATGAATGAATTAGAGACTGTGAATTCATCACAAAATAGAGTAGGACTAACATTGCAGGCAAGACTTGAATCCATTAATCTGGGGTTCAATTTGTGACATAGTTCATTATGTGCTTCCAAAAGGGCATGAATACAAAGTTTTGTATAATTTCTAAACCTTTAGGTTTTGGTTTCTCAACTAACGATTTTACTGTTAACAATAAGCGATTTGTGGAATGTATTCAAATATATACAATTTTCACCCGTTATATATTATTGTATTTCAATAGTCAGAATGCGAGTTGCAAGGTAGGACAAACATTATGGCTTGCCCTATCTAACAACATGTAATGTAACCAGTTTCATGCTGACTATTGAAATACAATTATATGAAGGGAATAATTTGTAACGAGGCACTTCAAAAAGATGCATGCGTTTTGAAATACAATTAGATTACATTACGAAAAAGGAAGCCCAAAATTAGGAAGGCTCTTTTCTCAAATTGAATATTTGTTACATGCATATCCATTTGTAGCCTTCTGTCAAGTGAACAGCGATATCTTGGCCTTAAAAACAGGAAATCATATATCCGTTGAAATTTGTGTCCAAAATTTGTATTGAGGAAGTTTCCTTGCCAATATCAGAACAAAAGCAAGAGTTTGAAAGTATTCAAGATACTCCTTTAAGAAGCCTTTAAGAAGAACAGATAGAGATAGTTTTTATCTAAGGTGGAAACAAAAATGTAAGCAATTTTAGTTTCAGCAAAAAAATTAACCTATTTTGGAGGGATATCTTAATGTTACAAAAACAATAATCAGATTCAAGGCTGTCATTCATGACCCTGGTATGATTTGTTTTCTTGAATTGCCAGAAGACCTAGTTAAAATTAAAAATATCACAAAGGGAACACTACTTAATGGATCAACCCATACCAGAAAAGTGCTTCAGAAAAACAACAAAACAATGATTCAAATTATTATAGTTACAGTATCACATCACATTTTGGAATGCTTTGTTGAAAATGCACATGCAAGTGAACAAGAACTAATCTACGGACATTATTTTGAGAATCACATTTGTACTACCTCAAGACGAATATACAATTTTTTTCTGAACTGGTAACCACATCGGAAATCCATATTCTATTTCAAGTCCACATATTACAATATACATTGCTTAACCACGGTTTGTTTCTAAAGTTTAAAGAAAAAATTTCTTTCACATCTGTCGCTGATACAAAATATACATGCCACAAACACAAAACATGTGTACTGTACAACTTTAAGTTCCTTTTCAATATCTTGATAATCAGACAGGCGACTGGCTTGTAAAAGTCATTGGTTTCTGACTGACCTAAAGCTTTATAATTATGATTGCAGCATGAGCTAAATTCAGGATTTTGTTTCAGAATCAGAGACAAAGTTACCAGATCCCTTTAAAGGTACTATGTCCCATTTGTAGGCCAAAAAAATGAAAAAGTTAAATTCCAACTGCATTTGAAAGATAATACTTATTTAGAACTTTCCTAAAAAGGTGGGGCTTGAAAATGTCTTCAAGTGGGAAAATAATGACTATTAGTTGTCAAATCGACTTTAGGGCTATAGAGCCCAAAAGTAATAGTCTTGATTTTCAGACAATTGTACCGAATGGTCATACGTTTTATGCTGCGCAAAGATTCAATCAGTTTAATCTTGGCCATCACAAGAAGTGGGTTATTGATGTAGACAAATGCTCATGTATCCTTTACAACTCTTTTCATGTATGTTATTACCAAAGAAGAAAAAAGCCAGTCAGTCACTCAATAGTGTCTGACAGTGAAGTCTAGCAAGTAAACAGATTTCCTTGCATAATTTGAATATGAGGACACTGCTAACGTTTAAATTTCACAGATAGGACATACACGACATATTCATAATTCCTGCAAAGTTCTACAGAATTTGAGGTTGGCTGCAAAAGGGACATAGTACCTTTAAGGGCAATATTATCAAAACAAACTGGAACACTAAATCAGTTCACTTGTTCCTAAAACACAGAACATGCACAAGCATCTTCCTATAGGTACTCAACAAAGTACAATTAGTGTAAACCTTGAGAAAGAGTGGAGGACATTGTAACCACCATCATTTCATATGGGATTTAAAAAAAAAAGCACTTTCTCTCTCTGGAATATTGCATGACATTTTTTTTTTCTCACACAATGTATGCTGAGTCACATTAGTAATGTTCAACTTAATACATTTTGTCATGGCACGCTTAAATCTTACAGGATACCTTACATCAGCCAGTAGTTGTCATACGGTAAACGTTTTGAGTTGCCATTTGAGTTGCAGCTTTCTGGTCATGTGGACATCTTCTTACCTTAAACATGCATAGGAGTGGGCTCTCATAGGGAAGTCGACACTGTTCGTTCGGGTGCTTACCCAATAACAGGTGTTGTCAATCATTAGCCTTCAGTCTCATGATCTACAGGCCTTATGCAATGCTTTGACTTTTCCCTCACCTGAAGACTCCCCTAGAGACGAGGGGGTATTTCTTGATAAGCCTACAGGTTCGCTGTGTGCAGACTTGTACGACCATCAATGGTATTTCCACCAAGTCTGGTGTCAGCGAATTATAGCCTTCTGCACATGGAAACGGACGACATACTCCCTCTAATCAAGAGAATTGACACATACAATTTGCATGAGGAGCTGAGACTGTATCTTTGACGGCATTTTATGCAGATGGTGATACTGTCATTATCCTCAGGTTCATAAATGTCTGACTCATCAATGTAGGGGCTTCATGATACACACTTCAGGTTTTCCTTATATCTCCTCAAAATTGGTGGATGTTCAGGAAAGATTTTCGTTATGATCCTGTGAATTGAGAATGAAAAAAAAGATGTGATAGTCATAACTTTTGGCCAATCTTTAACTATAGACCTGAGAAAAAAAACTTGTTTGAAAAACTGAATAATGATATCATAGCAAAAAAATCAGAGAAATAAACAGGTGAAAATCAAAAGAAAAGAAATCAGACAATATGAAAGCAATGACTGAAAATTAAGGGTGCAATTCAATAATAGA